AGATTCAGTCAAGCAGACACTTGATGATTGTCCTTGGATCCACCTAGCTTGCCATGGAGAGCAGAACATCATAGAGCCTCCAAAAAGCTGCCTCCAGCTCTATGGTGGAACCTTGGAACTGGAGACCATTCTCCAAATGTCCCTTCCAAAAGCCGAATTTGCATTCCTCGCTGCATGCCAGACAGCAAAAGGAGATGCTGCACTGGTGAATGAGTCCTTCCACTTGGGTGGTGGTTTCATTGCTGCAGGATTTCAAGGAGCCATTGCCACCATGTGGTCCATGGTGGATGAAGATGAGCCAGTTGTTGCGGAAACTGTCTACAGCCATTTATTGGGCAGTGGTCAAAGGCCTCGAGCATCTGAGGCTGCAAAAGCACTGCAGCTTGCTGTCCGAAAGATGCGGGATGCCGGAGTGCCACATGAACGATGGGTACCATTTCTCCACCTGGGAATCTAGAATGGTCATATCTTTTGTCCACTCTCTTACATGTGAAAGACTCACATTCATTTAGGTTTCTCTCAAACATGTGTCTGTTATGTTTTCTTGGCCTCATGATTCAATCTTGTACAAAACCTTGTCTTTTAAAAAATTGCTAGATATAGTTTGTAGTAGCAATATTTATCCCCACAATTTTGAGGCACTTTCACAGGTGAATTTAGTGGACAGACTTTTACGCTATTATGCATCGGATTCGGGACCAGCTTGCTATACTCATGCACCTAATGATTCAATTTAGATGAGATTTTTCTTGTTTGGTGTTGGCAGCATGTCAAAGATGACCCAGTGACACCGGGCACTGAACAGAGTGGTTCCCAACTCAGCTAGACTCACAACATTGAAAATAAAAAAGTGTAACAATTTCTCTGCCAGTGCCTGACCAACTGTGCAGCCCCAAGCATCCATGTTCTGTCAGTCCTTCCTAAATCTAATAACATATCACTGGTGACACATTTCAGGATTTTCAGTGAAAATATTGGTGAAAAGCTTCCTTCAGTTTTCACATTTTTTTCGAGGAAATGATGGCTTTCAGAAGCTAAACCAGAACCATAAAGTCCTAGCTCCAATTTTGCTGGTCATGAGTGCACCTAACGCTCTTGGCTGCAAGAACCATGGCGTAAATATAACACCACTCAGTGAAAAGAATGCACATAACTAAGGCTCCAACCATTTATTTTTCGTTGATTCCCGTAAACAGATTGGAAACGGTTACTAAACATTTAAAAAACGGGTATTAATTCGAATATTTTTGAACTGTGCAGGAAGGTAGCGCAAATTAAATCTTATGCCTAAATCCAATCAAAGCAACTCAAATATAGTTACCAAAACTCACCACGCTTTAGATAGGACAACACACAGCGATATGGGAAAGAGTTTAACTGTTTATAAACAGAAATGGTTGTAGTCTCGTTCCCGCCGTTAAAGGGCAGAGAGCGGTCCTCCGGACCGGGCGGAAAGATCCGAGGCAGAATTTTGATGAAGTATGTCAAGTCAGCACTGCCCTATAACGTCTGGTGCAGCTCGTATACTATGATATAGAAAACGGGCGATCGTGTCACGCCTTTTTTAATCCACTTCGTTTTCCAACTTCTCCGCAATTTATGGTCCCAAGCCACTTTCTATTATACTACGCTGCATATTCCATTAATTTTGGTACCCATATTTAGTGCACACGGCCCTCCGGTGCACTCAGAATTAAAAATAGATCAGGACTGTATAAATATCGGTTTACAGTGGACTGTTGAGCCTGAAAATTATTTTCATAGCCCTAGCATCATTGGTTCGTCATTATACACAAAATAGAGCCTGCTCAAGAGCTGTAGAGCCGGCGGAACCTATTGTTTGAGGAAGTGATCAAAATGTTGAATTGTTGAATCTCACTCATCTGTGGTGTTTTTCGAGCATTTATTTCCCCCAATGACATCCATGTTGCTTTCTAAGTGAATCTGAAGTATAATTTCTGAGTCCGTGTCTGTACATTGCCTATATTATCAAGAACTGAGGGCAATAGGGAGGTGTGACATCTGTGACGAGATAAGAGCGATCGCCTGTTTGCTACGCGAGATGCACCAGATGTTAGGGTATGGGTTCCGGTGTGTCTTTTTCATCATTTTTCTGCCCCAGATTTTAAACTCCGCCCATACCCGAACATCTGGAGCCGAGATTAAAATGGTTGCAGCCTTACACATAACCAAGCCCACAAAAATTCAATTAAGCCCTTTTGGACCATCCCACAAAGACAAGATCCACTTGAGTACTTCATGCCTTTCAAGTTTTGACATCCTCATTGTGCTTCAAACTAGTATAATAATGATGCAATCCATCTAGATCTAGCAGGTGGGAGTCACTGCGTTCAGCGGGTCCCTAAACCCGTAAAAGTGTAGAACCTGTGAGACGGGTCTAGATCAGTCTAGATGACGTTTATGTACGCCTATTTACCTAGACCTGTCAAGTCGAGGCCGCCTAGATCCGGCATCAGCCGAGATCATCTGAGACAGGTCTATGTCCGCTTGTCGAGGGCGAGTCGAGAGGTGGCTGAGGAGGTGGCTACAACTGCCTAGCCACCTAGAAACACTGTGTCTAGTTGGCTAGACACAATTGGCTGTCTAGGCACCTAGACACGATCCAGTTCTAAGGGACCGCTGAACGCAGTGAGTGAGTTGCATTACTCCATGAACACCATATCATCTCAGGTTGTAGCCCATATATATAAATCCCATCCTCATTTGCCGATCCGGCAAAAATAAAATAAAATGTCTTGTAAACAATGTATAGTGTCTTTGGGTGAAATCGAACAACCGGCCTCCCGTTACTGAGTGAACTGGTGGTAGTGGGAGTGAGTTGTATGTATTACTCCACGAAGACGATATCAGTTTACCTCATACCCTTGAGATACACGCACAATTTTATTTTGGGCTGGGAGGGGAAATAAGAAGTGACTCAGCCAACAAATGTCTTCAGGTGGATTCGAGCCACCAACTCTCCCGTTATCCAAATGTGCCGTTCAAACTGGTGGGACTGAGTTGCATTATTCCACGAAGATTATATCAGCATCCTGTGTACCTCGGATACACCCCACCTACAATAATGTTTTGGCTAGGAACAAAAAAAAACGCAAATGTTTTCATGTGGCTTCCAGTACAAACCGCCAATCATGTAAAAGAACTGTACAACAGAACTTCTTAATTCGAACCACCGACTCTCCGTTATATACTCAATATGTAGTTGCATTACTCCACGAAGACGATATGAGCTTACCTCAGATACATCCACAATTTTGTTTTGAGAGGGGAGGGAAAAAAGAGACACAATCTGATCACCAAATGTCTTCGGGTGGGTTTGAACCACCAGCCCTCCCGCTATGGGTTGAATGTGCTGAACAAGCAGGCGGTGTAATAATTACTCCACGAAGGCAATACAAGGTGACTCGTAACCCGAATATATTTCCTCCTTTTCTTGCTGGGAGGAACACTGTTTTCGGATGGCTAAGTTCGAGTTCGAACTGTGGGACTGAGTAGTATTCGCACTACTAGTACTCCATGAAGACAAAATCAGCTTATGACCTCGGATACACCCACAATCGAAAGGGGCAAGGAAAAAAAGTTCGCGGCAAATACAGAATGTCTTCGGGTGGGTTCGAACCACCGCCTCTCCCGCGGGCCAATTTTCCTTGGCACAAACACTGCATTCCAAGGCCCCCTAGACTCAGCTGAGTCTAGGTGTTCTAGACATACCTACACACAGATCTGCGCCTAGGTAACTAGACAGAGTCTGTGTAGGTCTGTTTAGGCTCTTTGTAGCTCTGTCTAGGTCAGACTCAGTCTGCCGAACTCAGTTCGGGTCAGTCTAGGTCAGTATAGTACCTAGACAGACTCACCATCTACTTGTTGCGTCAAAATAAGTTGCTAAACATCCTCCCACAATGTATAGAAGTATTTTGAGTCATCGGAAGTAGCACATAAACTCGAATCTGGAAGCAAGATCTAATCACAAATTTAAAATGAATGATTAATGGTATCGTCCATCCGGCTTCCGTCCGACTTAAATGGAGTTACACCGATGTGTTCAAATTTAATACAGACGAGTTCTAATTGGCTATATAACATTAGCAACTCCCTTACCGCCTAGCAGACACTTGCATCATGAGTCATGGACTAGTTGTGGAAACACCCGGTACATGTACTGGGCAGGTGGAAGAGGAGGAACGAAGGAGGAACCACGTGCTTGAGCCCAAAGGAGGACCTAAATGAACTCCGAGTGACAAGCCGCAAGCGAATGTTGTGGCTGGCATTGTTGTGGCATCTTTGTCGTCTCACGCGCGATGCGCCGACGGCAGGATCAACGTTGATGCGCTGATGATCAACGGAACCCCCTATAAGGATTTTGGAGCGAAAGGCATAAAAGTATGTCTGTTTTGGTCTGACTAGGCACCTACACTCACCCAAACTAACCTAGACTGACTTACACTTGGTTAGACAGAGACACCCGAACACAACTACACAGAGGCTACACAGAGTTGGAGACTCCTAGGCAAAATATCCGTCTAGGACCCTACACAGGGTCTGCCTAGGGACCAAACACACCTAGACTGACCCTGGACAAAGTTAGGCTCACTGAGTCTAGGGGGCCTTGGAATGCAGTGAAACTGAGAGTGAGTTATACTACTCCACGGAGACAATATCGGATGCGCCCACACACAATTCTATTTTGGATTGGGAGGGGAAAATAAAAAACCCACGAGCAGCCAAGTAATGTCCCCAGGTTGATTTGAACCACCAAATCTCCCGCTATGGATTTAGTGTGCGGAGTGAGTTGCTTATAATTACTCCACAAAGACGATGTGAGCTTACACTCCCTCATAATTGTTTTGGGCTGGGAGGGAAAGAATGTGTCGATGCAAAGTCATCGGGTGTGTTATGGGGGAACGCGGATTACAAATGGCCATTACCTTCCCATCCGGCAGGGGCAAAAGAAAAAAAAAACCTTATTTACTCAGCCAGAATGTCTTCGGATGGATTCGAACCACCGACCCAGTATGATCCACCCAGCAGGTGGGAGTGACTCACACTACTCTACGAAGACAATATCAGCTCAGCTCATAACCTGAATGTACTCCCTCTTTTTTTGCTGGGAGAAACGAAAAGGTGTGAATATCTTCATGTGGCTTCCGAAATGTTTTTGACTGGATTCCAGTACGAACATTTTCGACTGGGTTCCAGTTTGAACCACTGACCCTCCCGTGGCTACATGATTGCTCTTAAGCAGTGGGAGTGAGTTGTAAGACTATATATTACTCCACGAAGACGATATCAGCTGGCTTTGTATCTCGGGTATGGACATCATTTTATTTTTTGCGCTGGGAGGGAGCCGAGGAATTGGGAAGGAGAAAAACCATGTCGGGTACATTCTTGAATCATCGGTGGTTCAAATCCGCCAAAAAGAAAAAGTTCCGCCGACGTGAAGAGGAAGATGGGCTGCACGGACAAAAGTCAGGCGGCCACGGATCTAAATTAAAAGTATTTCCAAGCGCAATCGTAGTGTTTATTTGCGCGTGGTTGGCCCATCTGTCGGACACGACCCATCACGTGTACACTCTGCTTTTCACCACTAAAACGAGGTCAAAACGCCCTGGGTCGCCCTCCTCCGCACGATGCCGCCCCCGGGATCCTCTACGCGGATTGCCATCTCGTCCGACTTTGATGACGGCCTATTGTCAGTCCTATTGTCAGTCTCGCCGGCACGCATGGGTTTGTCTCTCCCTCCTCTTTCTTTTATTCTATTTATAACCAAAGCGGCTTAGGGCGGGAACCTAAGCTTCCGCTTCAACCCCACAGGGCAAAATATCGCCGACCGTTCCACCGACCGCTGCATCTCCCTTTGACGCACCTAGTGTTAACCCGCATTCTTGCGGGGACGTACCCGCCGTCTTTTGAGGGGTTGGCCCGCCGTTTTTTTGGCTGCGTCGTGCCGTGGCTTCCCCTCCTGCCATCCACTTGTGCCACACTTACTGATGTGCCCCCTTCCCCAGGCTTCGAATGCAAGAACATCCGCCGTGCTCATCAAGGCCGTGGCCAAGGCTGCGGACGACAAGGCGGTGGACGAGGACAGCAAGTATAGGACGATTGTTAGGTGCGTGTCTGTTCTGTCTTGGTCTCTCTCTCATGCTTCCCTTCCTCCCACTCGTGTTATCCCTTCCTCCCACAAGTCGTATACTCCCTCCCCCTCGTGTTATACTCTCTCCGTTCACCCATACTCGGCGCTGTGTCTCCTTCTCCCATGCACTTGCGATTCCCTTTCCTTCCCTTGTCCCACCCCGCCTTTCCTCTCTACCTTGCTCCCTCCCACCCCTTTCTCTCGCCCTCCCCTCCCCTCCCCTCCCCGTTCCATCCCTCCCTTCCCCCCCCCCCCCCCCCCCCCCCGCGGCCCCATCTGTCCGCGTCGTTTTGTGCGATGCGGCTGTGGCTCCGTATACGCGACGCACGCGGGTCGTGCCGCCGTGGGCTGTGGGCTGCGTCGCTGTGGGCCCGCGTCGTTTCGTGCGTCGCGGCCCCCTTTCTGGCGTTCTTTGCGCTCCGCACGCCGGTGGTGCCCGCGCCTCCCCGCGTCGCGTTGTGTCACTGCAGCCCGTGTCGTTTCGTGCGACGTGGCTCCGGATGCGCCGACGCCTTCTTTGCGCGCCGCTCACGGGGCATGCCCGTGGCGCTCTATGCTGTAGGCCGCATCCAGGCGCAAGCGCATGCCTGTCCTCTGTCGCCGACGAGACGAACGTGTGCGCGGGGAGGGGAGGAGTTACGGGTTATTGCGCGGGGCTATGTGCGCTGCGTGTGTCCCGTGCGCTGTCGCGTCGGCGTCGCGTTGCGCGCTCGGCGTGGCTGCGCATGTCTTATCGGATCGGCGTGCCCGCGAGCTTCTCCGCGTCTTCGGTAGCAGGAAGTAGTGTGCCGCCGTATCCGACGTGCTCTGCGCGTGTGTCGGCAACCTCGTCAGCGCAGACCGCAACATCGTCCATGTGGACGGGCAGGCGGATAGGCATGCGCTCCTCTCCGTGGCGCGTTTGTGCGTTCTGCGGCGCGCGTCGTGTCGGCGAGCGGCGGACGGGATGCGTCTGCCGTTGTCGACATGGACGACGGATTACGCGTGGCGGATGTAGACGTAGGCGACACTGTCGATGTGGACATGCGGGCAGACGGGGGCACCCACCGTGATCGCGGCGGACATGCATCGAGCGGCGGACGTACCTGACATCGTCGACCTGGACGTGAGCGACGCTGTCCACAGGTGAGGCGAGGCGCGGGCGAGCGACGTGCCATCGCGCGTTTTTCATGCAAATTGGACGGCCGCCCCCCGCTTCTCGAAGCGTGCTGCTCTGCAAGCAGGCCGGGTGAGGACGTACTCTGCAAGCAGAGTGCGGAGCGTGCTCTGTGCGCGCCGCTCCCCGAACCGTTTGCGCTGCGCTCTGTGCGCGCCGGTTGTGCTGCGCCTGAACGCCCGCGGCTTGGGTGCGCCGTGCCTGAGCGTGCCCGCCGTGAGTACTACCGCGCTCCTCCGGTCCGCGCCTTTGCCTCTCCTGTCCCGCGCCTGCGCTCTTCATAAGCCGACACGTTGCGTGAGGCCGCCTGCTGTGTGTCGAATGGATGCGCTGCGTGCGGTGCGTTGGGAGATGGATATCCTGATGCCGTGGTGCTGCTGGTAGATGTGTATATGACTTGTGTAGAGCGCCCAGTTTCCTTTTTCTTTCTTTTTCCCTCGCCCATTCTCTCGTCGTACATCTCCCTCTCCATGTCTTGCTCACACTTCCCTCCACCACCTACATACACACACTCAATCGCTTTGCCATATACTTATGCTAATTAATTACCTACCGAACCACCCACCCACTTGCACGCACGCAAATGGAGATTAAGGAATGAAATGGTTGTTGTAATGTACTTGCTACATAGTGTGTCGACTAAGGAGAGTTGTGTGGTCCTGTGGAAAATCGACATGTTTGACCGTGCCTGGCCTGACAAACTCTTTCCACCACTGGCACTCGAAACGCCGCTGCGCCATCCTCCTCTAACACGCTCATCAAGCACGCTCGGGCAACGCCGACGCCGGGCTCCTCTCCGCAGATCGCGATTGATATCGTCCAAATAATTCCCAATCGACGCGCGTCGCGTAGATGCATCCCGCCCTACAAATTGCTGAAATCGTGGAACTGATATGTATCGAGTCTGTCGATCCTGACGATGATCGTGACCTAAATACTCTGTATGCTTTGGCAAGAACGGCCAGCACCTTCACTCATAGCGCCCTCAACGGGTTATGGAAGTTTCAAACTACACTCATTAATATCTTGAAGTGTTTGCCCGCAGACCTGTGGGATGTTGAGCGTGGGCTCTTACATGAAGGCAGCTCGTTTGTGGGTAACATCTGTCCGTGAAAGCATCCTGGGCCTGACCAACCCTATTTCCAGCATTTGCTTTGCCCAGTTAAACAGACTGATTTAGAGCGCCTCCTCTTTCATTCCGCACGCGTCAAGAGCCTGGATTTCGCCGAACAAGCCGTGACTCCTGGGATTTCGGGTCTTCTGGACCAAATACAGCCCTTTCTCCCACAGGGTTTCCTGTTCCCGAAACTTCGAAGCCTCTTCCTCGAGCCGGGGGAGGAAAGGGGATTATTCGGGTCACATATGAGCCTGTTTATTCCCGGCACTCTTACGGAACTATACATCGACCTCGAAGACAATTGGTCCAGGCTACTCCCCCTTCTACCGCCTCTAAAGTCCTCATTCATGACACTCAGCATGGATATCCTGAAGGTTCCAAACCATATTGAGTGCAGCCTCATTTCGACATTCGTACGGACGCTGGACCAAGTAACGGACCTGGAGGTGCCCACACTTGATCCAACAGTGCTCAAGCATGTTGCCAGCCTTGCTACTCTCAAATCCTTGAAAATAGGCTGTGCAGGTGCCGGCAATTTATCTACTGGACTCCTTCAGCCGACCGGATTCTGTGCCCTCACAAATCTTCGTTTTTATGAAGCACCAATCCAGTTCATCACTGACCTCACACACGCACTATCGAACAGTCCAGTTGCGAGCCTCTATCTCGGCAGCTGCGACTTGCCCACCGAACATACCATGCGAGCTCTCTGTCTCGCGCTCTCTTCGCGCATCGCCCACAGCACGCTTTCAGACCTTCGGATGTGACATTATGACCTTTAAAAGGCACCGCCCAGACAACCGTGGTTTCTACGTCCACACGATCTCCCTGTTGTTCTGCTTCAGGGGCATGCAGATTCTGGAGTTGTGCGCTCCAGGCGGGTTCCAACTCGAGGATGTCACGGTCTGGGACCTGGCTCAGGCATTCCCTGAGTTGCGGCGCCTCTTGTTGACGACATCCGATGGGGTGCATTACGCCCCTCGCGTGACACTAGATGGGCTCCGGGCATTCGCGATTCACTGTCCGCAACTGACCGCCATGCATATTGCATTTAATGCAACTGTTATTCTACCTGCCATCGACTTCACCCCCTCCAACGCTTTCCACGCAAAGCTCACAGAGTTGGATGTCCTGGACTCTCGGATTTCGTCGCCGCACCGCGTCACAGTGTTCCTCACGACCATATTTCCCATCCTGGTGACGTTAGTTCACTACCATAAACCAATGCAAGAGGGCTTTACCGCTGAGGATTGCAAGAAGTGGGACCAGGTTGGGGATCTGCTGTCTAGACTTGCTGATGCACGCTGGAAGGAACAGCTCGGGGCGGTGGCACCTTGAATGCGTGTTTGATAGCTCTGTTGCAAATCATCTGAAATCCTATTCTCAATTGATCCCCGACGCATTTCTGCGCACTAAATAATTGGCGAATGATATTTGTATCAATATATTTTTGACCTGCGACTGAAGTTCACCTTCCACTTCCGTACAGTCTTAACTTGAAAGGCCGAGTCGTCTCCACTGTCCAAGCTCAAGGCTTCATCCAATCCTTCATAACTTCCCATCCCTATGATATCTGGTGGTGGGGGTAAAAGAGAAAAAGACGCTGGAGATTGAACCGAATGGCTTCGGGTTGGTTGGAACTACCAACTCTCCCGT